TCCTGTTAGCAAAGGGGCTCTCAGCCAGACTGGTGGCTATGCTTCTGGCTAGCAGGAAAACAGAAACCCAAGCAGTTTACAGGAAGGTTTGGAGTCGCTTTAGAGAATGGTGCTACAGGGCTTCAGTGGATACCCATAGCCTAGTGTCAGTACTGGAATTCCTGCAGGCGGAGGGGGGGTAAAGGACTTGCGATCAGCACACTCAAGAGCCAAATTTCGGCCCTTAGTGTGTTTCTGGAAACCCCTTTAGCTAAGGTGGGATTGGTAATCAGGTTCTTTAGAGCTCTGACAAGACAGAGACCTCCCGGGAATAGGCCATTCCCAATGTGGGATTTGACAAAAGTACTCAAGGTATTGATGGAGCTACCATTTGAGCCCCTGGGGTCTTGCTCCCTAAGGGATCTCACGCTTAAAACAGTTTTTTTTGGTGGCGGTCACCACAGCAAGGAGGGTGTGTGAACTGGAAGCCCTGTCGGTCAGGACGCCTTACTTGCAAATTTTTCCGGATAGGGTGGTATTCAGAACGGACCCATCCTTTGTTCCGAGGGTGGCCCAAAAATTTCAGAGGGAACAGGATATAGTTTTGCCCTCCTTTTTTCCTAACCCGGTAGGGGAAAGTCAAGAGAAATTTCATTTGTTAGACATAAGAAGGTGTGTGCTACTTTACCTAGATAGGACTAAAGAATTTCGAAGCACAGAGTCATTTTTTATTTCTTTTACGGGGGAGAGAAAAGGGGAAAAAAGCCTCCAGGCGCACAGTAGCTAGATGATTAAAGCTAGCAATTGAACAGGCATACCGAGTTGAGGGTCTAGAAGTCCTGGAGGGAATCAGGGCTCATTCCACACGGGCCATGGCAACTCAAGCTGAACTGGCAGGAGCCTCCCTGGAACAGATTTGTAGGGCAGCAACCTGGTCCAGTTACGGGATGTTTGTAAGGCATTACAGACTTGACCTGGTCTCGGTGCAGGAGCAGGTCTTCAGACGTAAGGTACTGCAAGCAAGTGAGCCCGCCCGAGGGGTAAGTACTCGCTTATCCTCTCAAGGTGCTGTCCTGAAAGATGAAGGGGAAAATCAAAGTTACACTTACAGTAACGCCTTTTCCAGTAGTCTTTCAGGACAGCACCGGTTACCCACCCTTTGTTGCAAAATTTTATATGAGATGTCTTTAGTTGTCTCATATTATGTCTCCCCAGGTACGTTTCCAAGAACTGAGGTCGGAGGGGAGTGATAGGCTTTTTGTTTAGGGTGGAGGTGTTTCCTCAAGTAGGGAGAAGCTGAGGTCTCTCAAAGGTGCTGTCCTCAAAGACTACTGGAAAAGGCGTTACCGTAAGTGTAACTTTGTTTTTTTTTTACATTTTTTTTGTTTATAGCGCAGAAAGTAAAGCGCCCAGCGGTGATTAAATACCACCAAAAGAGAGCTCTATTTGTGAGAAAAAAAATTATAAAAATTTCATATGGGTACAATCTTGTATGACCGCACAATTGTCAATCAAGGTGCGACAGCGCTGAAAGCTGAAAATTGGCCTGGTAAAGAAGGGGGTATAAGTGCCCGGTAGGCAAGTGGTTAAACAGATCTAACTTTATCAGGGGACAGTAATTACAACACCAGCAGACAATGAGTGGGGTACTATAGTAGTTCAGATGGTCACTTATTTCTGCCTTTCCAAAGTATTCTCCTTTTCAGACGTACTTCTATTTCTCTGTAATTCGAGACATTGAATCCGTTTACATGACTGCTAAAGGAGTTTGGCTGTCTTGTAAATAAAGAACAACGTTCTCTGACCCCTACACAAGCTGTTGTGCAAATGGGGACCACTTAATCGTGGTTTGGAATTATGCTATTTTGCTATTTCTGAGGCTGGAGAACTGGTGGTAAGTTGCTGGATTGTCCCAGCTTTTCTTTCTTCAACTGTCAGCCTCTGCATGCCTGAGGATTGGGACCATGGGCTCTCCTGTCTCTATACTGAAATAGGCTCAGTGGGGGAGATACACATTCCAGAATGTTTGGTTTTTTTTTTTCTGCAACTGTGAACATTCGCCAAGCTAGTTAAATCTCGGATGTATTACAATATCTTCTCAGGGGCCAAACCGTGGTAAAAAAAAAAGTGGATCTCCCCCATTCATTGAGTTGTTCCAAACATTCCAGATTTCCTGTTAGCCTTTCGCCCCCCATGCCTTTCATCAACAGACAGTGGCTCTTCAGCCTCCATGAAGCTGGACAACTGGACTGTGATGCACTACATCAAAAGGCAGGTTGAAACCTCAAGCCTTAGTCTACTGAAATAGGTAGAGCGATTTGGGCAGGGAGGATTTTCTCCCAACTTTTCAGCATTATACTTGCAAAGGATTCAGAACTTCTAGAAGGATTCCATGTCTCTATAGCCATGCTCCTTCAGGTGGATTCTGTCTCTGCGCAAGATTCCAGAAGTAGATCTGTTCCCGTTTCCTTATTACAAGCTGAAGTGTTTTTTTCATGAGAGACTTAGGCTAACAAGTCTTGGAAGTGGATGTTCTGACAGATCAGGAGACGTTTTCTAAGCTGTCTGCTTTTTCTCCAGCTCTTACCATATATGAGACTGCAGTTAAACAGTGGAAACTGTTGCATTGTTTCCATATTAGTCAAACAGACTTAGTTTACTTTCTGTTTCAAATTCTGTTATTGGGTCCCAGTCCCTCTAGCTCTCAGTTGCAATCTTCTGTTGCAGGGTACAGTATTCATCCTTGTTCATCTCTTCCAGCTATTGACTGATAAATGTACACTATACTCAATGAAGATGGTGCACTATATACTTCTGCCAGTTCCAGATGGATCACTTTCAGTCCAGTTAACATAACCGTGATCCAGGAGGACAGCATCTTTAATGGCGGGCACGTCCAGCAGGAATTTGCAGAGATCAGGACCTTGGAATTCAAGGGACCTTATTTGGTTTACTGCTAGTTCCATTTTCTGGATGTCAGGATCCTTTGCGCTTACTCATTGCTTCGGTGGAGATTTAGGCCATCTTCGTCATTTTTTCTGGCGAAATCAAAAGGAAGGAAGAGTCGGCCAGATTTATCACTGGATATATGGCCAGAGGTCTGGCTCCTTCGGAAGCATTGACAGCATGCTCAACCAGGAGTGTGTGGGTGCTGTGGGCTGTCTGTCACGAAGCACCAGAAGTAATGGTAGTTGGGGCATTTGTAACCAGCAAGCTGTGGATCTGAGGAAATTCCCCATCTGTTTGTTGGGCAGTTACTTTGTGCTGGTTCAGTGCTTTTGGCCTGCGCAGCATGGCTCCAGGTGGTTGTGCTTTTGCTGCTGTTGTGTAATCACCTTGGTGAATGGTTGGACATTTGTTTTTTTCTATCCTTGGTGTACTGGTTGTTCTTCATCCCAATCTTGTTTGTGGCTAGCCATTTCGAAATTTGTATGCTGCCATGGAATAAGTCAAGAAAACAGAAAATTGTTATTAACCAATTCAATACCTTGCAATTTTACACCTTCCTGCCCAGGCCATTTTTCAGGTTTCAGCGCTCACATTTTTAATGACAATTGCGCAGTCATAAAACATTGTACCCAAACTAAAATTTTATCATTTTCGTCACACAACTAGAGCTTTCTTTTGGTGGTATTTAATTTTTTATTTTTTGCTAAATTAACAAAAAAGGCCAAAAATTTTGAAAAAAACACGTTTTTCTTTGTTTCTGTTATAAAAGTTTGCAAATAAATAATTGTTCATAAATGTAGGCCAAGATGTATTCTACTACATGTCTTTGGTGAAAATAACCCAAATTAGGATGTATTTTTTAGTTTGTAGGAAGGTTATAGAGTTCACAAACTATGGTATAGATCTGAATATTGATCAATCCTGAAGTACTGACAGCCAATCTAATTTCTTGAGGTCCAAGAATGTCATAATAGTACAGATATCCCCCAAATGACCACTTTTTGCAAAGTAGACAGTCCGACGTACTTCATAAGAGGCATGGCGAGTTTTTTAAAGTTTGTATTTTTTTGTCATTTTTCAGAAAATGAAAAAATAAAAAAAGTTATTTTCACTTTTCACTGTCACCAGTGCAGCGTCATCATATAACTGGCATGGCGGTGATCAGGGACACTGACTGGTGACTGTGTGAAAAAAAAAAAATATTTTTTTTTTATTTTAAATTTTTTATTACATTTTTTTTTTTTTTTTTTAAGATTTTTTTTTTTCATATTTCACTATGTCCAAAGTAGTACAATGTTACCATAGTAACATTGTGCTACTTTGGGGAAGTGATCAGTATTTTTGTTTTTGTTACACAATTTGCTTATAGCAAAGAATTACTTTGCTATAAGCAAGCATTTACCTGAATGACATCGATTCATTCAGGGTTTTTTTTTTTTTTTTTTTTTTTTGTGCTTAGCTGTGATTTGGCCACAGCTAATCACATGACATGTGCATGTGATTAGCTGTGACCATTCACAGCTAGACACTAGTATACAATGGATGGCATGAATGAAGCCATCTATTGTATACAACTGTCATGTGACCTGCTGTGATTGGTCACAGCAGGTCACATGGTACCGGCAACGGGGGCTGTCATTGGCCGTGTCCGAGGTACACGGCCAGTGACAGATTGCGCTGCAAACTGCGCATGTGCAGGAGGACGCCATATTGCGGCCTCCCGGAAAGCTAATACATTTTTACGGACGCCATTCAGCCATAGGCTGGGCGTCAAATGGTTAATACTTATTGAATAGGCCTCTGTTTCTGGGCGTGAGGTCCTATGAAATAGGAGTGAGGACTGAGTCTACCCATTCGTATGCTGCCATAGAATCAATCGGGAAAATAACGGTAAGTAACCATTTGTTTTCTGGGTGCTGGGGCTTTTTTTTTTTTTTTTTAAACATATACACAGATATTTTGCCTTTCATTTTCTGTTTTAAACTAAATAGGTTGTTTTGCAAGAAAAGTATTTACACATACTCTTTTTTTCAGTATAACTTTAGTCTGATTGTATTTTTCTTCATATACAGATACGGGTGAACAGTACCAAAATGATACGGGTGACACAAGTTGATAGTGAGGAGCAGCTTTTGGAAATGGAAACCTACAGTGTGTTCAGCCTGTTCTCTTTTTTGAAGGAAAAATTAAATGACACCTACATTAATGTGGATCTCCACAGCAACAAAACCTGCATTAAAGTGCATGTAAATGAGGGTAACACTCGTTATAGTGTAATGCTTTTGAGAGGTAAATCCTATTTAAAAATGCTTGTCATACTTTTTATTGCGGGTAGCGTGTGCATCTTCAGTATAAGTACTTGTGCATGTATGTAGTATAGCCCCAACTTTTTTTTTTCCTTATTGAAAGGCTTTGGATCTCTAGTCAGGTCTACTCTGATGTTGATTACCCCAGTGACCACTAGAATGCGGCTAATAGACAAGCCGACGGCAATGTGCAGGCAATTTCTTACTTGCCCCTTCAAACTTTAGTTATAGTGACCCTGATTTATTATAGAAGTAGAGCATTTTAGACTTGTCTCAAGCAGGTGAGATAAAACAAAGTGAAAATGCACTTTGGTAAGACTACTCACAATCACGTGCAAGAAGACTTAGAATAATAATGGATTTTTAAAAAATAATTTTTTTTTGCCACAACTTCAACTCTTTTACTAAGCAAAGTGATACTTTCCTTTATTTGGTCTAGTGAATGAGGTGAAATTAAATTTTTTATTTTTTTTTGCTCCTATGCCACGTTGTTGGATGATCTTTGTAAAGGTTATTTTCACTTTGTTCACCTCATTTTATTGAGAAGTGAAAGTTGCTTTTGCACACTGAGAATTCACTTTGAAAATGAACATATTCTACTTTTTTAATCAACCCCAGTGTGAGGATTGTGTCTGTCCTAGCTTTTGCTTCTTAGCAGGGAAGTGAATATCCGTTACCAGATTGATATGTTTTTAAGTAGGTTTTAAAATGTCTTCTATGTACAATTCAATATATTTTTTTTTTCCAGGGTTTGACCCCAAGCTTTTCCTGGTTTTCCTTTTTGGTCTTCTATTATTTTTCTATGGAGATACACTTAGTAGGTAGGTTATGCAAGTTTGTCAAACAGTTATGCTTCAGTTTACTAAGTAACTAGTCATAATAAAACTAGTACAGATGGAATTCAGTCCCTAAGACCCCTTTTCCACTGATGCGCTTTTGCCACACTGGAACGCAAATTTTCGGTGGGGAAAAGAAGCACAGCAAAATGATTTGTCTTTAAATCCTATGAGGCGTTTCACATCACTGTGTTGCGCTGCGGTTTGAAAAGTCCTGCATTCTGTATCTTTGGTCCATAACAACCAGCTATTCACACATCTGCGCTGTAATGCAACACATTTAAAATGTGCTATGCGTTTTTTTTGAAGCACTGTAGTGTGAAAGTAGCCTTACAGATGTCTGTATGAACCTGCAGCTTTGTGCCTGAGAGCCCCAAAACACTAAGGCCTTGTGTATGCAAATTCTGACTTGAGCTGCGGTCATATTTTGGCTTGCCCTTCTACTGCCAAGTCTCCCATGTGGCCCATAAGTATGCTGGGCATACTCAAACTAGCATGAAGGTTTGGGGGGTTGGTAAGGAAGATTAACTTAGTTCAGATTGAAATGTGCATAAATGAGGCCCCAGATTGTTCGTTGTGTTAAACGAGAAGTTTTTGTGCTTGTTCCTTTGGATAATTTCTCGTGAACTGTTGATATTGGCTCTTGAAAGCTGTTTACTATCAGATTATTAAACAATCGGTCCCCCCCATCATTTTATATTGGGCTTAAAACATTGCATACTTTACTAAAAGTTGAATGTGAATCTAGCATTAGATACAATATTTTTTTTTTTTCTTTTATCAAGTGCATGTGCAGAAACTGTAAATGTGTATGTGTTAACACTTGCAACAATCACAGTACTCCTTTTTATGTCCAGATGGACTACTCCTTTTTTTTTTTTTTGCATTACCTGGCTTTACAGGTAATAGAGGAGCAGGAGGTGGGTAAATTCCTTTATTGATAAAGCACATTGTGTTCTCTTTGAATTTTAAACTATGTGTGGCAAAGCACTAATGCAAGCTTGTAACTCCTGTTGACAAGCTGCTGTATCATACCCTATTGTTATTACACAGTATGTCCATTTCGTGCCACCAAGAATATTCCTGCTTAAGAAGGTTGGTATTTGCATATCATAAGCACCAATTCCATCCCATGTACTAATTCCTTGTTGCTGCTGATAGCTTTATATTCAAGTAGTTGAAAAGGCTGAAGGTTTTTTATTTTATTTATTTATTTTTTTTACCTACATGCATTCTATGCATGAATGTAAAAAACTTGTGACCTGCGTAATATCTTGATGTGCATGGGAGCCTTGACTGTCCTGGGTCTCTCCTCATTGGCGTCCATTGCTTTCCACTGCTGTCAATCACAGCCAGTAAGGAGGGGGGGGGGGGGGAAACCGAGCCATGGCTCTGTGTCTTCTGGGCACATAGACTGGTGCTCAGGATCGTACCCACATAGCAAGCAGCTTGCTATTGGGGCACTGGCCAAAGGCGAAGAGCCAGGAGCGCTGGCGGGGGACTTGAGAAGAGGAGGATCAGAGCTGCTCAGAGCAAAATAACTGCACAGAAGCAGGGAAGTGTATAATATGATTTTTATTTAAAAAATAAATAAAAAGGGAAAAAACGTATAATTTTAAATGATAAAATGTGATTTTAATCTCTTTTCTTAACAAAGAGTAATAAAGGAGTTATTTTATTAATTTCAGAAATCTTGTATTTCAATTCACCTGTCTTGAAATACTTGTCTCTCCTCTTACAGAAGTCAGATCTTTTACTACAGTACAGGAGTAAGCGTGGGTATGGTTGCCTCAATGCTCATTCTTGTGTTTATGCTATCCAAGTTGCTGCCTAAGGTAAGAGTTGTGGTGGGTTTTTTTTTTCCTCCTGATCCTGTAGATGCTATCTTTGGATAGCGTTGAAGGGGCATTTTAGCTTCCTGTTTATCCAGGGCATGCTATAGCTAATCATGTTCAATCATGTTCCCTGCATTATTCACATTTATAGTAGATGTTTCAGGCATGCTTGTGTGGTGTGTGTGTTTTTTTGTTTTTTTTTTCTCTTACATTTTAATTATTTTTAATTGTTGCATGCTGTCTGATGGTTAATAGCGATTACCACGATAATTAGTGCATCGAAAAATGATCATTGGTTGTAGTAGGACATGTAACAAGCAGGTGGGGCTAAAAATCCCAAAGTGTACGGGGGTACTTGGTGCCTAGCTGATGAAGTTTCTGGAACTTCCATAGGACCTTGCAGACTACTAAAAGCAGAGGTGTTGCATGTAATACAGCACTTTTTTGTAGTTATGCATACCTTGATTAAGATGAAAGGTAACAAAGACAAGTTTTATTTTCATTGTTTATCATTTCAGAAAAGTCCATTCTACATGTTACTGGTTGGCGGTTGGTCATTTTCTCTTTACGTTATCCAGTTGGTGGTTAAAAATTTTCAGGGAATCTGCACAGAATATTGGCAGTATCTATTGGGTATGTAAGAGTTTCATGTAATTACAATGGTCGTTGCAAAAGAGTATTTATTATCTTTGTGCTTATGATATCCATTGATTGTATTTTGTGTCTTAAAGTAGACAGTTAAAAAGCTGATATGTTTGGTAGCTGTAGACACTTGTCACTGGGCCTGCTACCTATAGTTCCTGCACTCTGGTAAGAAAATCTCTCCTTCATAGTGTTTCCCAGTCCTTGGTTTCTGTAAATACCACTACTTTTAGGTGGATGACAATCCTTACATATACCCAGTGAAGTGACTGGCCTTAGATGATACACATGAGATTAATCAAATCTTCCTGTGTACGTTGTACCTGTTTATCTGCAGCCATCTTTTCTTTAGACCATTCTAAAAACACGGTCACTGCTGGATGAGGAATTATGCAGTTATTTTATTGTTTTCAATAAACTGCTGTGGTTTTATCCTTTCACTACTGGGCACTAACTGCGTAATTCCTCACCCAGCATTGACAGCGCTCCTTTTTGATGACTTTGCAGCTGGTTCTCATTTAGTTCATAAGAGTTGTTGGAGCAGCCATTACTGTGGTGTCTTTTTATCAAGCACTCTTTCGGATACTTGTCTGAGTGCCTGGCTTTTTGATCTGTCATTCTAAAAACACACTGATCAAAGCACTTTATCTGGACTGTAGCAACAGTCTCACAGTGCTGATCTCAGTGAGGGGAGCTCTGAGGAGAGGGAAGGGAGACACCCACCCCCCTTTCACACAGAACATGCAGTACAAAGTGTATCAGTCACAGAATGTGTGCTGGAGCTCTCCTAGCCAATTACCTTTTTATCTCTTGTGTTGGGAAAAGCTGTCAAAAGTGACTCATGCAGATAGCAGAAGAACAAGACAGCAAAGATAAATTACACTTGGTGCTTTGGATAGAGGCAAATACACAGTACAGAATGATGTACTTTGTTCAATTTCATTATCTTTACACTTATAGTGTCACATTCCTACTTCTGGATTTTCATTTAAATCTCAGCTCCCCATCCACTGTCTTGGATGCCAGCAGCAATAAATGGAAGCCTTGTGCAAGCTTCTTGTACAGTTGGCAAACACCAGTGCATATGCCCACATACCTGGATGGTTCCAGGTATTTCTTTTCTTTCTGGTAGCAGGAAAGAAGAGAGGATGTGAGTCTTCTCAGCTGGAGTGGTTGTATTGTAACTAAACCCTTGAGTGAGAAAATGTTTCTTGAACTTTTGAATCTTGCCACCGACAGGAGGATTGGACATTGTCAAGTAAAAACATTGTGGGCTAGTGTAGGATAACCCCTGTAACTTAGTTTTCCTCAGTTCTTTGTTTGTATCCTTTAGAGAATGGATGTCTTTTCTCTGCTCTGCTGAGAAAAGTCTAACCTTTTTGCTAGCAACTTTTTTCTTTAAACAAGATTCCAGCTACATTGCTGATGAGGTGGTCTCTATATGCAGTTTACAGGATCGGATGCTGTAGGCACCACTTCAAAACTCCAAGCACAGCTATTAGCCTCTTCCACTGCTGTGCCTAAGTCTGCAGAGACCTTTCTGATGCACCCACTATTTGTTGTATTCCTGTATGAAGAGTGGAAAAATCCTGACAAGATTTTTGTACTTAAATACAAAAAATTATATATATATATATATATATATATATATATATATATATATATATATATATAAAAATTACGGAGCTGTAAATATATGATGTATCATCAAAAATAGTCCAAATGATATATGAAATTAAGGAATCCGCATAAAAAAATGAATATATATATATATATATATATATATATATATATATATATATATATATATATATACATACATATACCTGGTATCGTATCACCCTGATGAAGCCACGTGACCCGGTGGCGCAACGCGTAGGGGAGGGGCTCTGACTTCACGGCGCTGTCTGGATCTAACGGCGAGTAAAGGAAGTGTGCTGAGCACCCACAGAGGTTTTCTGCTATTCCATTAAGCGTTTTTTATATTTGTACAAATTACTGGAGAGAGGAGACAAAAGGAAGGAGTAGACCCCTGGAGGAGAAAGGGAGAAATCCATCCATCCACATCCAAAATAGGGATCCGCTAACCTGAGAGACCCCAGGTGGAATAATATTACAACGTTCACTCCATAATCTGGGAACGATATCTGCCACAGGAAAACTTCTCATCTGTCCTTGTAGGACAAAAAGCTGTTTTAGCCTAATAATCAGTGAGGCTAAAATTGAGGTGAGCGCATAGGAAAATTGCATTCAATCCATTTATTGATGCTTGATTTTCAGAATAATAACACAGAGTGGACACTATAGATAGATTCATTTTTTTTATGCAGATTTCTTAAATAATTTCATGTATAATTTGTACTATTTTTGATATATCACATATTTATAGCTCAATCATTTTTGTTCACTTTTTTATATATATATTATTTATTTGATGTTGGATCACAGTTATCTTTTGAATATTAATCATCGGAGTGTGGCACAATTTTTTGTATTTTATATTTAGGTACAAAAATCGTTATGTCAGGATTTTTCCACTCTTCATACAGGAATACAACAAATAGTGGGTGCATCAGAAAGGTCTCGGCAAGCTTAGGCACAGCAGTGGTAGAGGCTAATAGCTGTGCTTGGAGTTTTGAAGTGGTGCCTACAGCATCTGATCCTGTAAACCTGCATATAGAGACCACCTCATCAGCAATGTAGCTGGAACCTTGTTTATCTATATCTCTATCTTTATCTCTATATATATCTCATTTTATTTATTTGATGTTGGATCACATGGTTAGTTTTTGAATATTAATGATTGGAGTGCAGCACAATTTTTTGTATTTTATATTTAGTCACGTGCACTATTTGAGTTAGTATTGAGTGTCAGCGAACCAAGTGTGTGTATATTTTATTTAGTTAATTGATCAATTTAACACAATTGTCATATACCATAGTAGCTCACAAGCACTTATAATTTTTTTAAGATTTTTGTACCTTCTATGCATCAACCAGTTTGTTTGAGGAGGATGTAGGTAAAAACTGAGCTGCTCCTGTAAATCTGGCAATATCCCACCATTACCAAGTATATATCATCTCAGTGGAGAATGCATCCACCTTTAACCACCTCCCGCCCGCCATATAGTAATATGACGGGCGCAAGGTGGTTCTCGTCATATGACTGGGAGTGCATGCGCGGCTCAGGGGGCATATGATCGGCGGTGCGGAAAGAGCACTGAAGAGCCGAAGATGTCGGCTTGGTCATGTGATCAGCTGTGTCCAATCACAGCTGATCACATGTAAACAGGGAAATGCCGTTTATCGGCATTTCTCTCCTCGAGCTGTCTGCGTGACAGCTCGAGAGGAGAGCCGGTAATCGGATTTCCATGGAGGGGACATGTACACTGATCATCAGGGCACTGATGCTCAGTGTGCCCTGATGATCAGTGTAGCCCCAGCAGCGCCACCTGTCTGTCCTTCAATGCCTTGTGTCAGTGCTTATCAGTGCCACATATCAGTGCCAGTCAGTGCTGCCTGTCAGTGCCGCCTATCAGTGCCTCCTCCTCATTGTCCATCAGTGCCACCTATCAGTGTCCATCAGTGCAGCCTATCAGTGCCCATCACTGCAGCCTCATTAGCGCATATCAGTGAAGGAGAAAAATCACTTATTTACAAAATTTTATAACAAAAACTAAGAAAAAACGTTTTGGTTTTTTTTTCAAAGTTTTCAGTGGTTTTTGGTTTGTTTAAGAAAAAATAAAAAACCCAGAGGTGATTTAAATACCACCAAAATAAAGCTGTATCTGTCACAAAAAAATAAAATTTCATATGGGTACATTGTTGCATGACCGCGCAATTGTCATTCAAAGTGCGATAGCGCTGAAAGCTGGAAATTGGCCTGGGCAGGAAGGGGGTATAAGTGCCCTGTAGGCTAGCGGTTAAGGACCACCCTGCACTGGAACCTGTCTTGGCTACAGCCTTAATTTGTCAAACACTGGCCAAGTTTCTTGTGAATAAACATGGGAAGACCAAACAGTCCTTATTTTGCATGCCCTTGAGAAAACAATGCCTCTTCCAAGATGTCCTCATCAAGGATGTCATCGCTGGGAAGAGTATCCATCTTCCTCAGCAAAAGAAGCCCAGGGCTCAGTCTGGGAAGACTCACAAGGCCAAGAAGAGTCCCCATTTGTTGCTGGTTTCTGGCACCCAGTCCACCTGCAGATATTAGACTTTAGAGTCCCCCCCCCCCCCCCCAACCTTTTGATAAATCCTTAGGATGAAGGTGAACCCACTTTCCAGAGTGGGGGGATATCATTTAGCCTATTTTGACATTTGGATAGCCAGCATCTCAGATGTTTGGTTGTGGGAGTTGGATTCCAAGGGAAACAAGCTGGAGTTTCATTCCCAGCCCCCTCCCCAATTACTTCCAATCTGCCTGGGACTCTGCAGAGATTTTCAGATCTCCATGCAACCCTGGGTGGATTTTCTGGACCAGAGCAGCATTGCTGTGTCCTTGTGGCAGAATGGTTCCTGAGTTTCTACTCTAACCTGTTCACAATTCCTAAACCAAAAGAGGGCATGCGTCCCATCTTTGATCTCAAGATCTTAAATGTACCTGCTTGTCCCCATTGTTCCAGCTCAATGGTTCCTTCACTTTGATGTAGCTTTTCTGTACTTTAGTTTGTGGACCTGCCATTCAGCCATCTTCTGCACCTATTTACAAGGTGCTGACCCCCTGTGCTAGCCTTACTTGTTGGGTCATCCCCATTGATCTCCTGCCCATCCCTCATGACCTCCTGCTGAGGGAACAGTAGGTTTGGATTCTGCCTGGCAACATAGCTGTTACCGTAGTGAGTTTGCAGGGGTTTGGTTGGGTTCTAAAACTTCTGATACCAGCGCTGGAACAGACTCATCGCTTGGAATATCTAGGTCTAACGAACATAGCTCAAGTCAGAGAATTTCTACCCAAGGAGAGACTTCAAACTCTTTGCTGCTTGACTTGCATTTTTTAGTGCAGAAGTTGCCTGCCTCTTTGTATCTGCTTGAGAGTCCTGGGACTGCCTCGAAGGAGGCTACCATTTTGCTCAGTTCCACTGCAGACCTCTACAACACAACATTCTGTCATTATGGGACAAGTCAGTTTAATCCTTGGACAGACTGATTTGTCTGGCACCAAGAGCAAGGTTGTCCCTGGATACCTTTTGAGTCCTGCTCTGTAACCAGAAAAGTCCTTTCTTATCTGAAAGATCCTCATGACGGTTTCTAGCCTGTGGGACTGGGGAAGGGGTCCTGGGTACAATGTGCAGGAGTTGAGAAGGAATCTCCCTTCATTGCCTGGATGTACCTCCATGCTGTGAGAATTTGCCTTGCAGCTACTGCTTCCCTTTAGAAAGACTGGCCCACTCTGTCATTCCTAATTTTCCCCGTAAGGGTGAACAAGCTTTTCATTCCACCATTTCTCAGGGACTTTGGTAAAACATCACAAACCTCTGCTCTGAAAGATCAAGTGCCATGTTTTCCTGTCAAGACACACTCCACTAGATATGTAAGTGCCTCTTGGGCTTATTGGCATCTGGCTACTGTTTCTCGGCTTTGCAAGGCTTCCCCCTGGTCTTCAGTTCACATGTTCTCCATGTTTTACCAGGTGATGCGTCAGGCCTCATCTCATGACAGTTTCAAGTGTAAATCCTTCAGACAGCTCTTTGAGCTGCAGACAGTCCAAAGTTTTTGTTGTTAACAGTAGTCGTGCTGCGAGGCACACTCGATATTTAAAAATGTAAAGCTAGGTTCACATCTATGTGGCTCTTTGAGCTGCATTTGCATTTTCAGTCAGAAAAAAGGTTAATGTGCCTTTTTTTAAAAATGCAGCTGCAGGGAAATCCCATGGTGCTTTTGCATGCGATTTTCCTATAACCAAAAATGCCCTGGGTTTACAGATACGTTTGGGTGCCATTAAGAATGAATGGTAGCCCCACATGTCTGCAAAGGAGCAGCACGTTTTGGTTGCTGGTGTGGGAACAGATGCAGTTTACATACTGAGTTTGGCTTTGCTGGGGGATCCGGCTTCAGTTGCTGGCCATTAGGAATAGACTGGTGGTCTGATATAATCTTTACATCATTATTCTGATATTGGGTGAACATGGTTACATGCTGAGGATATAGGCAAAATGGGAGGCATTTTTCCACACTCATCTGCCAGAGGATGCTAGATATTGGATGCGATCATTCAAACCTTTCAAGACCTATCTGTTTATACAGTGGTCAATACAATCTGGTAAGGAGCTGTAGTGCACGTTCTTAACCAGGTTTCTTTTTTCCCACTGGCTGGAGTCTTTTTTTTTTTTTTTTTTTTTTTTTTTTTTTCTTTTCTTCCTTCACTTTTCTGTTTCACCATCTGTGGGCTTTGCGTGGCTTTCTCACATTGGACTTGTATTGTGGTTTCTTGTGGTATCTTATAGGTTGTCATTCACGCATATTATTGTCATTTTTCATTACGCATGTCATGATTTTATAGCACTGCACTTTATTATAGCACATGCTGTCCTGCATCTGCAACCACCTGTACATGTGTGAACCTAGCCTAAGTAAGCTATCCTATTATAATTTATTTATTTTTTAAAGTATGCTATTTTGCTAAAAGTATTGGGACACTCCTCCAAATCATTGGATTCAGGTGTTCCAATCACCTTCATGGCCACGGTGTATAAATCAAGCACCTAGGCATGCAGACTGCTTCTACAAATATTTGTGAAAGAATGGGTCGCTCTCAGGAGCTCAGTGAATTTAAGCATGGCACTGTGATATGTGCCACCTGTGCATTAAGTCCTTCCATGAAATTTCCTTGCTGCTAAATATTCCACAGTCATCTGTTAGGGGTATTATAACAATGTGGAAGTAACTGGGAACAGCAAGTCAGCCACAAGGTGGTAGGTCACGTAAAATGACAGAGCGGGGTCAGGGCATGCTGAAGCACACAGTGTGCAGACTTGGCCAACTGCGGAGTCAATAGTTAGACCTCCAAACTTTGTGTGGCCTTCAGATTAGCACAACAGTGCGTAGAGAGCTTCATGAAATGGGTTTCCATGGCCAAGCAGCTGCAACCAAGCCTTACACCACGTCCAATGCAAAGAGTTGGATGCAGTGGTGTAAAGCATGCCACCACTGGACTCTAGAGCAGTAGAGACGTGTTCTCTGGAGTGATGAATCATGCTTCTCTGTCTGGCAGTCCAATGGACGTGTCTGGGTTTAGCAGTTGCCAGGAGAATGGTACTTGCTTGACTGCATTGTGCCAAGTGTAAAGTTTTTGGTGGAGGGGGGATTATGGTGTGGGGTTGTTTTCAGGGGTTGAGCTTGGCCCCTTTGTTCCAGTGAAGGGAACTTAAGGAGTCAGCATACCAAGACGTTTCGAACAATTTCATGCTGCCAACTTTGGTGGGCACAGTTTGCAGATGGCCTCTTCCTGTTCCAATCTGCATGCGCACCAGTGCACAAAGCAAGGTCCATAAAGATATGGATGAGCGAGTTTGGGGTGGAGGAACTTGACTGGCCTGCACAGAGTCCTGACCTCAACCCGATAGAACACCTTTTGAGATGAATTAGAGGGGAGACCGCGAGCCAGGCCTTCTCATCTGACATCAGTGCCTGACCTCACAAATGCACTTCTGGAAGAATGGTCTAACATTCCCATAGACACACTCCTAAACCTTGTGGACAGCCTTCCCAGAAGATTTGAATCTGTGATAGCTGCAAAGGGTGAGCTAACTCCATATTGAACCCTATGGACTAAGACTGGGATGCCATTAAAGTTCTTGTCTGTGTAAAAGCAGGTGTCCCAATACCTTTGGCAATATAGTATATATCTAAAGCCAAAACCTTCTTTTTTTCCTTTTTTATATAGTAGGAAAGGGGTAAAAACTCCTGCTAGGCTGTTATCAAGCTACTGTATATTGTATTCTATTATGATTGATACGGTAATTTTTTTCTTTTTTTTTTCTCCTCTCTCCTTTTTAGGCTATCTCTGCATTGTGGGATTTGTCAGCTTTGCTGTCTGTTACAGATATGGGCCACTAGAAAATGAGCGGAGTATCAATCTGCTCAATTGGACGCTGCAACTAGTTGGTCTGCTGTTAATGTATGTTGGTGTCCAAGTGCGCCATGTAGCACTGTCTATGATGGCAATTGCATTTTGCACGAAACAGATCGAGTATCCTATACACTGGGCATACAATCTTTACAGGTTTGTTACTAAACATTCCCTTGTAGATAGATGGAATACGATATTGATTCAAAAGTGTTGTTCAGTGAAACAGGGCCACCAATAGGAGAATAGAGCCAGCCTTCTAATTCAGCAAGCGGTTCAAGAGGAGAGGGGATCCTTTACTTTGGGGCACCCTGGAGTAATCTTGCAGTCTGCAGCAATTAAAAATAAACTTCCCCAAGTCCCATTTGTTCAGCAGGCATCCAAGGCAGAGACGAGACTAGTGATTGTGCAGATGGAGTAATCCTACATGCTGTGCTTCATGGCAATTTAATTAATTTAAAGTTCAGCCCTAAAAATCAAGTTATATAAAGTACTAATAAACAACAGATAAATAAAAATAAAAAAATAAAAATTAAAAATAAGAAATGTCCAAAATAAATGTCCAAAAACTTAAATATGAAAAGTCCTAAGAGCAATCAGCAGAGTGGTATTCCAGCAAAGTGATGGTCCCAATTATTTGTGGAGATCGAACCTCAAAAAAAAGGAGAACTCACATAGTGTAATACCTTAGATGCATAGAATAAAACTGCAAACGCATGTGAATCACACTGAACCACACGCATGTGAACCACACTAAACCACACATAGTGAAGAAGAGTGAGTATAAGTGTGAAAACCTGAATAACACTTGCATGCAGTGTCAAACCGTGAGAGTGCCCACATCTAATGGATAATATACCATTACCAGAAATGCAGCAAAAACCAGCATTTAGATCCCATTCAGGAGATCACTTTATAGATTCCTCATCTATATATCCATCCACTTATTGCCACCAGCCAAGCTGCAGTAGTAAAGTCCCTCAAGATATATTCCACAATGTCCCTCTCAAACGCTTATTCCAGGGTAATACCACCAGAACTCAACCATACAGCTTTCTTCATAAAAGCAAACTTTTAATAGAAATAGTTCATATAAAACATACATGAATAAAATCAGCACAGCCAAACCCTCTGTAGATCTTCAGGAACGCTGTCCCTGTAGTTGTGTGAGCGGATTCCAAGACTAAAGATGGCCGCCGGACAACTTCCGGTTGTGCTGTGTGTCGTGACGTCACTTCCCTTTGACGCGTTTTGTCACCTGACTTAAGCACCCTTTATGATTAAGTCAGGTGACGAAACGCGTCAAAGGGAAGTGACGTCACGACTGCTGTAACCTTTTGCAACTACTCAGCAGGCTGTACTATATACTTTGCATATTCCTGACTCCTAAAAAGACTTTACCCACTCCTGTCCCCTGCACTCTGTATGCCACCCACTCCTGACCCCTGCACACTGTTGGGGTACATTCTCCTGAAGCCAGCATGTTGTACATTTTACACATCTTTTGTATGTCACACACATCTGACCCCTGTGGTCTGTACTGTTTTAGACCCCTCCCACTGCAATGTTACCACACCAAAATTTCCCCACAGTGTACTGTGCATGCCACATTCTTGTTCCCTGCTTCCTGAGTGCAGACCAGGTAGGAGGGCAGGCTCTACAGGGCCCCATGATTTCCAGTGGCGGTCCTGCAGTTGGACAAACCTGGTTAAAGGCCAAATTCAGATATTTCCAAAGGTAGAAATAACCGTGAAGAGGAAATAAACATACAGTTCCTTTGGTTAACATAAAGCGTAATAAATGCACTGTTACAGAAGCAAAAAATGCAATTACAATGTGTAATTAAATGATGAGATGCATAGAGTGCAGTATTGAATAGCATGTGAAGCCATAGGCAGGCATTAGAACAGCATGCAAATTGTTATGTATAACCCCATAAGAGAAGAATGGATACACCAATCCTTTGGGCCCAGAAGGGGTCCAGCGATTTTATACAAAACACTTAAGGTGCCAAAAAGAAAAATACTCAGCTCAATTACAGAATAAAAAAGAAGAGCAGATGAGAACGAAGGAAAAGGAAAAAGGGTCCCGGAGGATCACAGTAGAAGGTCGTTAAAGCGACAGAAGGGCGATGTCAAATCTAAATGGCTGGGCTGTTAGTCCAAAGTTGCCAAAACCAGAGGAACGTATCGTGTGTCTAGCAGTATAGCTGTTAACTTCTCATTAACCATTCCAAAGTTCATTCAGTTTTTGACTGCTTCGAAACTGAGGAGTTTAGCTTTTTTTTTTTTTCTCTTCCCCCTTAACCTCTTCATGCCGGCCGCACACAAATGTGCGGCCTCCCAGCGTCTGGGCCTAGACGCCAAGCGGCCGCACAGTTGCTGTCAATTAAAAAATCATATGTGCTGATTCTATCCCCCTTTGTAATGTACAGCGCTGAGCGAACTGTTGGCGCTTTATAAATACTGTATAATAATATTAACTAGAAAAGCTACAATTTCTGGGGAAATTGTGTGAGGTGTTCTTGCCTCCACCAGTAGTCTACAACTGGAGTAGGTGGAGTGTCACACACCTGGGTTCCTATGGCAACTCACTCTACAGCAAGGGCAGAGAAGAGTGGTTAAAAACAAACTGTTCCAACTTGCTCACTTCACTGGCAGTTGCCATTTTCAAACGGTTGTAGTTTAAAAATTATAAATCCTACACCGAAGAGCTTTATATTGTGAGAATCACAAGACCCAGACCTACATTTAATGCATAGTATGTCTCTGAAATACTAAAAATGAAGGCACAGTCGCAGTTTAGAAATTGCCCTTCAAATTTGAGGTGGCTAGAGTGGAGTTTCAATGAATGTCAATGGGCGGCGTGAGTTGCAAACAAATGGTCATATTGTGAAAACTATCAGGACTATGGCTTAGCCGTGGACATTTTTAGTGGCAGCAGGGATAGCTGAACTTTTTGATATAAGATTTGTGTAGGTGGGCTTGAAACTGAGGGAGTGGTGGCAGTGTAGAAATCATGTCCTGATTTTTCAGATCACACTCTAGCTTTTGTCAGCTCCCACTCTAGTTTTGAACATTCTGCCATTCATTCCTATGGGACCGATTTCACCACAAAAGCACCGATATTTCGTGAACCATTTGGCGAAACGTTCCACAAAGTAATAGCACACCAATCAGGAACAATCCGCACGTTATATTGCTGTCTATGTAGTGTAAAAACTGTGGGAGGAGTTAGGGTGGTAAATTGGGCTATAATAATAAGAATATATATGTGAGATAACAGTAAGTGGTCTTGCCATGCAACAACACTTAATAATATGTTGGGTGACTGGTCTGATACCTGCTTCAATTCTCAGCTTTCTTTGGGCACCACCAATGAGCAGTACATCAGTGCTGCTCTGTATAGAAGTACCTTCAGCAAAGGCTGCTAGTCTTTCCTCACTCTGCCTAACATTATTTGTCAGAAAAATGTCAGCCTGCAGGTGGCACTTTTAATATGTTTTATTGCTAACTGGTAAAAGTATAAAGCAGGTTATCACCTTTTACATGGTAAAATGTTAAGTGTGAAAAATTGGGCAAATTGCAGAAAATTCATTTTGCTTTTGACATTTCAGAAAGGTGTCTAAATCAAGAGTAAAACCCAGCCCACCACGCTTTCTGACAGAGGAAGAATACCGGAAGCAAGGGGAGCTAGAGACAAGGAAAGGGTTAGAAGAGTTGCGGGAATACTGCAATAGTCCAGATTCTCAAGCATGGAGGATTGTGTCACGCATCCAGTCACCAAAGAGGTAATTCATGTTTTCTTTAGTTCCATTTTTGAATTTGTGAATGTTGTATTTTGTGTGGTTCAGTTAAAAGTGCCACCTAGTGTTTTCACATCTGGGATCTTTTCAGTGTTGGTCCTGAAACATGATTTATTTAGTCAAAACTAAATAGTTACAGTTAAGGGGTGTAGGAAGTTTTAATCCTGCCTAATATTTTTTCTTTTTTGCTGTCTGTTCCTGATACGAGGTCAGCACAAAGGCCCCACATGCATTCCGCAAGATTCCTGAGTGCTTCCAACGTGGTGCTATACTTACCTTCAGCCCTTCTCCAGCAATTGTTTTAAAACGGAAAGGAGTGGGCAAGATTAGGTTAAAAAATATTTTAAATATAGATGCATTTTAAATGTTTATATTTCTGCTCACAGCAGAAAGTTCATGTGAAAGGTTCTAACCCTTCTTCTCTCTGTCCAATCCTAAAATAACTTTTGGCTGTAATAGAGCTTTTAGGAATGAAGGTAGGTTTGCTCATCAAAGGTAATCACAGAGCAGGTGCTCGGCATTAGCCATTAGTCCAAGAAGGGGAGATTTTGGAGGCCCACTTAGGCTCCATTCACACTAGGTCGTTTCAAATAGTGGGCAGAATCTCTGCGATTCTGCCTGTGATTTGAAAATGCACATTCGTGTGTTCAGGTGCAATTCATTTCAAACATGGAGCATTTTTGCTGCGATTGAGACGCAGTTTTCTGCACAACAAATGCACTGCAATCGAGCAAACAAAGTCGCGGGATGTGCAATGCCAAAAAAAAGTTTTGAAACCGTTAACGTCTACTGCTGCCAAGACAACACAAAGTGTTGGTAAACTTAATGGAATTTAAAGTGGTCTCTATATAGTGGGGGTATGCCCACCCATCCTTCTGGAGAGTACAGGCAGTCTCTGGGTTACAAACACGATAGGGTGTGTATGTGTTCTTAAGTTGAATTTGTATGCAAGTTGGAGCAGGTATTATTTTTTTAGGTATAAGACAACTTTTTACCCCTTGAAAATCTTCTCAAAAGTCGGGGGTCGTCTTATACGCCGGTATACGGCATACTGACACTCTTTAGGGGGCGGCGCGGTGCCGCCGCCCCCCCCCCCCTTCCAACGGAAGGGACACTAAGTACAGGGGTGGGCAGGGGCTGTTTCTTACCTGTCCAGGAAGCGCGGCTGCTCCTTCAGTTCGGCCACTGGATGTTCGCGCGGCTGCTCGGCTCCGCCTCCTCACCGGTGATTGGGCGCCAGAACTGTAGCTCAGGAAAGGCACACAGGTGGCCAATCACCGGCGAGGGGGCGGAGCCCCATCATTGGCATTCGTGGCAGGAATAGTGCCCCATCATTTAGTATCAGTGGGAGAAATGCTCCCACTGATACCAATGATGGGGCACTATTCCTCCCACTGATACTAATGATGGGGCACTATTCCTACCACTGATACCAATGATGGGGCACTATTTCCCCCACTGATACTAATGATGGGGCACTATTCCTGCCACTAATGCCAATGATGGGGCACTATTCCTGCCACTGATACCAATGATGGGGCACTATTCCTGCCACTGATACCAATGATGGGGCACTATTCCTGCCACTGATACCAATGATGGGGCACTATTCCTGCCACTGATACCAATGATGGGGCACTATTCCTGCCACTGATACCAATGATGGGGCACTATTCCCCCCACTGATACCAATGATGGGGCACTATTCCCCCCACTGATACCAATGATGGGGCACTATTATTCCCCCACTGATGATCCTAATGATGGGGCACTATTCCTGCCACTGATACCAATGATGGGGCACTATTCCCCCCACTGATACCAATGATGGGACACTATTCCTCCCACTGACACCAATGATGGGGCACTATTCCTCCCACTGGTGTGCATTGGAAGAGGGGTAGTCTTATACGGCGAGTATAGCCCAAACACTACATTTTAGCAGGAAAAGTAGGGGGTCGTCTTATACGCCCAGTCGTCTTATACGCCGGAAAATACGGTAGTTTTTTTGGATAGCATAGGGAAGAGTTAACACCACTGTAATGTTTGTTTTGTTGTCTGTACTTCTGTTCAGAACATTTCACCTCACTTTCTGTCCCTGTGACAATTTTATTTAGAAAATTATGGGTTATTGTGGAAACAAGAATTGGTGACAAACCTTCAGTGGAGACACCTTTTTCCCATGGTAACTCTTAAAGGATTGAGTATCCCTTGCTAGGGGTAGATTTTCTTCACTTCTTGTTTCTCCCTTAGTTTGTAAGTAGGAGCCATTCAGGTTTGATGAGTATACCTGTTCTTAATGGGTGCCTGTACAGGAACCTTGGTGGCATCTAGTGGTGGACATCATTATTAATTTTACTAACTTTATGGAGGAATGAAGCATGAATAGTCGCGCTGATGTACCCCAGTCTGCTTTGAAATCTTTACCGTTTAGAGAACTTGCGGATGCAGTAGAACTAACCATAGTAGCAGAGTTTGGCTGTTTCACACCCAGTGTTGTCTTCTACACAGCTGTTTCTGTTTCAGTTGACTGTGTTTCAACCTACTTATGAAATTGATGATCATTCGCACCTGCTTGGAATAATTGGGTAATCATAAACCTGACTTTAATTCTACAAAATCCCTGACTTTTCAAGTGTCCAAAGTGTGCACATGTCAGAATTGGTGCTGTCTTGAAGCCAAAAGGTCATCACATCAAATATTGATTTGATTTAGATTTTTCTTCTGTTCGCTCACTTTGCATTTTTTAAATTGATAAAAATAAACCAGTAAATACAGCATTTCTTCACACCTTCCTAAAACTTTTTTGCACAGCAATGTTTAGACAGATGACCATGAATGTTAGTGAGAAAATATGAACTTTTTGAATAAAGTTTCATAGACTTTATATGATAATTTGTCTTTGTGAATTCCTTGAAAGTAGTCTTGTGGTCTGGGGCAGTACGTCCAGAAGTTTTTTCAGTACTTTGGCTTGGAACAGGCATGTCACATGTAGAGTCTGAGTGAACTCCTTATTTGCATATTTATGCAGGCTGCCATTGTGAACTTACCCTTAAAATGTAGATTGTTGCCTGGCTGTCATTTTTAACATTAAAGCCTAGGTTTTCCTATTAAACTGCGGTGTTTGAAGATGGCTCTGTTTATCTCTAGAAATCACACCTGGATTGAGAATATAAACCGTGCATTAGGCAGGATAACACCTTTTTAGGCCCCCTTCCTGAAAAAACATGTTCACATATCCCATTACTATTACAACCCAACTTGCAAAATTAAGCCCTTAGCACCTACCTAGGTTGCCTTGCAGTATTTTGGCCCTGACGGAGAACAGAGTCTGTCATACTTGTAGCAGAAGGTCAAAGTGATGAGCTGCTTATCTGAATGAGCCTTTGTGCTTACAAAGGCAGCTTGTATCAATGTATCTATACTGTGCAATTTTGTGCCATTTTTCAACATGACTTAACACGTCTGCCTTGATGCTGGATGCAAACCAGGGTTCTGTGACTTTTCGTAGCAGGTGTAAGGCTGTACTATGTATCAAATGTGTACCAATTACAGCCTGTGGCAACCTCAGACATGAGAGTCGAGAGAGTTAACTGTATCCAGTCAGGAAATGGGATTCCTGAAAGAGGCCACTAAATGGTCCAGAGTACGTACCTGGAGGGAATGCAGGATTGCCTATGGCAGGGCAAAGAGGTGAGCTGAGGAAAGGTTGCATTTTAAAAGGGCTTGTGTGCAATATTTGGTAATGGGTCCAATTATCGGGTGGATTTTAAACTAGCGAGGTAAGTGAGAGAAGCACCATGGCATGCATTGTAGGGGAAAACATGAGGATGCCATTTCCAGACTCACCCAATCTTTTAAACTGCAACTTCTACATCAGTCCAGCAACCGTGCCGGGTATGTCGCCATATGATATATATTCGGATATCTGGGAAGGGGTTATGCTTGTTTTGAGTCAGTGTTGTGTGGGTCCTGATAAATTTGGATAAGGTAGAGTTAATTAATTTAAGAAATGAAGATGTGACGTGGATGGGCAGGGCTGAGAGCAGATATGGGAATTTCAGGAATATAGTAATTTTTAAGTATGTTGCAATGGCTGAACAAGGAAAAAGGCCAGTAATCAGCTTCTGAAGTAGATGTCAGGTTTTATGCAGGAGAAATTTCTAAAGCAAAAGTGTCTTTCAGGTCGGCTGGAATATGAGTGCCAAGATTTTTAATGGCTTTAGTTTTGTGGGTTTTTTTTTTTTGTTTAAGAGTTTGGGCTTGAGGGGTAGACCTAAGGACCCCCGTCGCTTTGAGAGGTGAGTGGAAATGTGATGGGAAAGGGAAGATAATTTGCGTATGCTGAGATCTTGTGTTGACTGTCCCATATTGGTAGGCCCTGAATGTTTGGATTAGCTCCCACTCTGGATAAGAGTGGCTCTAAAGAAAGGAGCAAGAAAGGAGAGTGAGGACACTCCTGACCGGTCCCTTTTTAGAGTTTGGGACAGGATCGCATTTACCTTGACTGCAGCTATAGGGGAGGAGTATATAGCATTGACTCATTTTAAAGCAGTAGTAAGCACCCACAAAAAAAAAAAAAGAAATCTGGCCCCCTGCCAATTTGTCATAATTGGCTTGTATTCACCTCATACTATTACATTATGACACTTACCTGGGCACAGAGCCCTCCAGTGCAACTCTGTCACAGCTCCCCGGGACTTCCATCTTCAGCCAGACTTCCTTACGGGTTTGCAGACTCTGGCTGTATGAATGGCCGAGGCTGTGATGATGACACTCCCACGCAGGAGCCCCCACACAGAGCTCTGAAGGTACCGCAAAGGTATGCTGTCCCTTCGGAGCTGCATCCTGTGCAATGATCTCCTAAACCGTGCATGTTTAAGAGGTATTCACCATGCCTACAGGTAAGCCTTAATACAGGCTCACCTGTAGGTACAAGTTAAAAAGTGGACTTCCACTTTAAGAAATTTGATCAATTGGTGAGG